CTGCATGATTGGATAAAATTCTAACAACCAGTTTTCAGGTGTATAGTTTGCAAATCAGCTAGGAGTGGCACAATTGGTAATTGAGGGTGACTCCCAAGTGGTATCGGGCTGGCTATAAGTATAAAATATAGAGGTTTAAAATTTAAATTGCTAACAAGGGGTTTAACTGTAAGAATACAATGGGTTGGGAGTTCAGCCAAAGATGTTGCAAATTATTTAGCCAAGCAAGGGGCAACAAGGGGTCATTTATACTGGGCCTCTTCAAGAAAACTTGTATCAGTATTCTCCTTATTATGATAATAAAACCTGGACATAGATGTTTTTTTTTTTCCCAAAAAATGAACACTTTCATGAAAAATCATGTTTTTCTAGGAGGTAAATAACTCTTATAAACTCTAATCAAGAAACCTACCAATTTATTACCTCTTGGTCTTATAGTTATATCCTTGATAGCACAGAGGCTAGAGAAAACAATGGAAATTTTTCTATGGTGCCAAAGGAGTTCAAAAAAGGTAATTTTAAAACTTTAGAAGACAGTAAGCATGAGGAAGGATCAAGGGGAATTGAGATTGGGATTTATTATTCTTGATGGGATATAGGGGTTCAATGTGCTGCTACCATGAAATTGTGAAAATGATTTGCAGTACTTAGCATCCTGCAAAAAGCAATATTTTGTACAGGGTGCAAAATACATAACTTGGAAATGGGACATAAAACATTGGAGGGGTACGATCCTTGGATTTGTTTGTAATTTCAGTGCTGCTACAAGGTTTATTTTGATAAATAGGTGCAACTTCGGCGGGCCCAGTCGAAGGACAGATTGAACCAGCATGAAATTTTTCATGGATTGTGCTTCTTGCCAATGTTGTGGCTGCAATATTGACTATTAATACAATAATTTCTTACTAATTATCAAAAAAATGAAAAAAATCAGTGCTTCTTGCTACAAGGTTAGAGTGGGGCATTGTTTGTGATTTATGAAATCCTTTGCCCACTCCCTTTCAAGTAAAGGATACAAACCTGCTCCTTTTCTTAATTTATATTTATTTATTTTGTTCATATGTTTCAACCAATGGATTTCTCCTGCATTAACTGATAATATGAGAGGAGGTTCAGAAGTATACAACTTTGATTCTGTGCTTGCTATGAATGTATAGCGGCTGAGAATGAACTAAAATTCCTTGGACCTCGAGGTTGGTGTTTACTGACCGTGTATGGGCCTGACTACAGAGGATAATTTCAGGTTTGTAAAGTACGTTGATGTGTTGGTTTATGGTTCAACTGAATATAGCAAATGTTTTTTGCGCATGTGTCTGCTGCTACTGAAAGGTAAAAGGAAAATGCGTGGACAAATTGATGCATCTGTTAACAGGGGAGGGTATGATCACATTCAACTCTTCCTTGTCTTTTTGATATCTTTATGAAAGAATGGGGAGGGATGCATGTTCCTTTTAACTTAATCAATTTGTCTTTTGACCTACCCATGGCTGTTCATTCATAAAAGTAATAGACCATTTTCAGCAAAGACATGGGTATGTTGTGGACAAGGGACTGTGAGAAAGTAAGGCATTTCTGGAGTAACTGATCATATGGGTTGGATTGGTAACATCATCTGCCTGAGTGCTGGATGAAGTGGAAAGGTTGCACCAAGAAGGCATTTACACATGCCAAAGGGTTGGACTTTATAATTTTTCCTCTGATGAATTAATAAAACCAAGAAATTTAATGAATCAACTAAAATCTCCCCACCCCTATTAAGATATTTCTAGTGATGCCTACAATTGACAACCAAAAATTTAGACTCCATTCCCTTCTTTATCCCATGAATATTTGGGGGGAGGGGTACAGGGATTAAAAAAAAAAAGAACCATCTGATGTACAACAACAATCTTTTCTCCAAACCAGCCAATGGCAGGGGGAAATTTTATTTTGGATTGCAAAATTGTATAAGGTCCATATGATGTTGGAGATAAGGTCCATGAGGAAGAAAATGGAATTTCCGAAACTCAAGGGTTGGAGCAATCAGCAAACAATAGATCTTGTTTGATTGTCAGAAGTATATTGAGAAATCCAAGTTGTCTGATAATCTGATTTCTGAGTTGGACCAAGAAAATCTAAAGCTTCGGGTAGAATAAAGAATCTTGTTTGAACAGGTTATCTAAAGTACGTATCCCATATTTTTATGTTTCATTCAGTATGATGCTTTACTGAAATGAGACTAAGACTTCAGGTGGGGAATATACAATTTTTTTTTTTTTTTTTTAATGTTTCATTCAGTAATTTATGAAATCATTATGTACTTTGTTCATCATCACAAATAATGGACTCAGACATGGCAAAGTTAGTAATAGAATTAACCTGATCAACCTTCTTACATGGAATTCTATCATATATTATCTTAGAACATGAGTAACCTTGTTAATAAAACTTAAAACATTCACTAAAAACTACCACTGACTTTAACATCATCAATAAACCAAACACAAGAAAAACCACTAAAAACTAATTCCCTCCAACTAAATATTCTTCCTCCTCGGGTTCTTCATCATCAGTGCATTCATTTCCCACAATTCCAGTCTGAGTTAAGACTCTTTTTTAGTTTCAATAGCTTCGATTTCAAATCATCAATGTACATTTCCAGATTTGAGCACTTATGCATATAGTACTATAACTCTTCATAGTTCACATTATCTATTTTCATGTTGAAGTATTCGACTATTTTTTTCACCGCCTTCCTAGTAGCATCTTGCTCCGTCTCCTTTTTAGAAGTAGATCCATTTTCATAAAATTTCCAATTGTCCTCCCCAATTGTTATAAGAACAGTTCTTCGAAATCCTTTTCCACATCTTCAACTAAGAATATGGGACGGGACATGCACAATTTGGAGCACAACTCGTTAAGTACGTTCTTAATTGAGATACTCGTCTGGTTTAATGTTTCCATCTGTGTGCTAAATGAAAACTAAAAAATAAGGTGGGACTAAGAAAATTAATTCTTTAACACTATCTGTTTTGGTTATATTAATATATCGAAACCGTGTAGTACAGACAATCCTAAATCTTTGAGCAACATAAAGATTCAGGATTCAGATGATACGATTAGGAAGGTTTTATTGGGAGGTAAAATAACCTCCAAACGATAATAAATATGGGAATTAAAATTTTTAGTACTATAAACATTGCAATAGCATAAAAATAGCAAAATTTTTATCCAATTATTGGATCTGTCACAAGATTTGATTTCCATCCTCTCTATATAACTAAAGAACCAAACTGGGCCTATTCCCACAAACCAATTTATTAATATACATTAATAAATACCAAAGTTATTAATGTATTGTATTTCTATATAACATGGTTCCTGATCCCTATTCCCACGAACCAAACTAGGCCTGAATATAGCCAGGTGTGCAAACGGGTTACCTCTTAATGTATTTGTTTGATAAATCTAAATGCTGTAACACCTAAAATGAATCATAATACATTGAAACCAACATTTAAAATGAATCATAGTACATTTAAAATGAAAGGTTTCAAAGCAGCATTTAAAATGAATGGTTTGAAACAAACATTTAAAATGCATCACAGTACAATCAAGAAATTGTAGGGGTAATTACATGAACCAATGACACAATTGAAAACTAAGGACATTAATAGTAAACATTACCTTATAGATTCCCCAGTTGCTCTCGTCAAGTTGCTCTCCTATTCGAATAATCACTCCTCTCGTTGCTTTTCTCTTTGAATAATGACTCCTACGATTGCTCTGTTGGAGTTGTGCATACTCCAAGGGAATCCCAACCTCCATTTATATAGATTTCCAAATATAACTGAACTCTCCAATCGTGACCAAAGAACCTTCGAGTTTATGGGAATAAAGATCTTCTTTCTTTGGAGTTTGTGGGAGATGAATTCGTTAAAAGCAGAAGTGGATTAGATAAAGGGTGGAGTGGGAGATGAATTCGTGCAAAATGCTGATTAGATTTAGGGCGAAGTGGGAGATGAATTCGTGAAAAATGCAAAAGTGGATTAGATTTAGGGCGAAGTGGTAAATGAATTCATAGAAGTGGATTAGATTCTAAGTCTTCTTTCTTGAGTGAAACAGAGTTGTGGGAAACAGGCCGGGTCTTCTTTCTCAATTCGGAGAGAGAAACTGATAGGGTGAGGGAGAAAGAGCTTCAGTGATATTATGAAAATTACTAACATGTCCTTTAATTTTACTAAGTACATGGTTAGACAAATACGGGTAGTACAGGTCCAATTATATATATAGACTAATGGTATTTATGGTTGAACTTTCACCCATGTTTATTAGTTTTTAGTCCCACTTAGAAAAAATATTGATTCCACCGCTGTCCATTAGTTGGCTTTTTAGTCCCACCTCTGCCCTCAATTGAGCTTTGGAGTCGAGAGAGCAAATGTGAATTCTTCGGAATCAGACCATGGCCAGCAAAAGCTCAACCCAAGGTCGACTCATGAATGGGTTTATCTCTCCACACCAGCCATAAATACAAATGAGAGTGATTGTGCTGGTGTAAAACAAAAGGGAAAACCGATCGAAGTGTGGATGACTGGATGGGGTTTTATTCTTTAAGCAGGATTCATTTGTTCTCTGAATGCTTATACATTTCTCTGATGAGGTCTATAAGGTTTAACCGAATATATATAAATATAATTTCCTCAAGATCATGTTAATTAGGATTCTTCAGTGACGAAAACATGATGACGATTAATTAACGGGACTTGTGTATATATATATACATGAGCCATGAGAATACAAAATTACAAATAAATTGAAGGACCCACGTTTCTACAATCACCATCTGTCCGTTACATCACTCTGATCAAATTAAATTAAAGCCTTACACGAGAATGCTATATTCAACAATTTTAAATGGATCAATGAAGGGGCAGAACTATAACTTATTACATATGAGAGACGGCCGAGGCACAAAGAAGCGGTGGGAATGATGAGAAGATATCAGAAACCCCCACTCCAACCTCCACCGCCACCACTGTCACAACCACCTCCGCCTCCACTATCACCACCACCACTGCTGCTCCATCCTCCGCCGCCTCCACTATCACCACCACCGCTGCTCCATCCTCCTCCTCCTCCGCCGCCACCACCACCTCCACTATTCCATCCACCCCCGCTGCCACCTCCACAACCACTACTATTGCCACCACTAACACCAGCACCAGCATCACCACCTCCGCTGCTCCATCCACCATCACCACCACTACCTCCTCCTCCTCCACAACCACCACCAACTCCGCCGCTGTAACCACTGTCGCAACCCCCATAGCCGCCACCAGCACCGCTACAACTATCGATACCAGGACCATCTCCACCACCATTACAAACACTATCCGTAGCCGCTAAAACTGCGCCTGCGTTTGCCATAATGAGCATACCACCTCCGCCACGTTCAACATCACCACAAGGATGGTGACTAAAAGTGGAGGTTCCACTTCCAGCAACCTTAGAATGTTGGGAACGGGCTTTGTTTCTCTTCTCACGTTGTTTGCTGCAGAGTGCAAGTAACAGAAACAACACTATAAAACCCACAACTGCGCAAGCAAAAGCAACAGGAACAACAACTGATGCTTTCATCTTCTTGTACAACCTCAGACGTTTGTTTCTTCTCTTGAGCTCTGCTTTCAAGCTTATATGTGGGGGGAAGAGTTGGTTCCTTCTTGTTATATAGTTTCTGGCAAATTTGGAGTATTTTCGGAGTTCGACGGAGTGCTGTTTCGCTGCGAGTACTAAGCCCCAAATTTAGATTTCTTTTTTGATTTTTTTCTGTGTTTTCATTCGAAAGCTGGACACCTCGGACTAAATCTTGAAGCCTGGGCGGTTTATGTACGTTTGACGTCTTTTTGTTATTCCTTTGACTTTAAAGGTCAATGAGGCGGATTGGTGGGTTTTATTTGATCCGTTATCCTTTTGATGAGTAAGAATGATAACGGGGTGGGTTCGGGGCTGGGACCATACTATCCCCGTATCCGACCCGACATTGAAACTAATCCCCGTTTCTGACTTCAATCGCTGCTGGGAATAAGAAATTGACCTTCCATCCCCGGAGAGGTCTCCGATAGAGATGATTCGTCATTGGGACCAGAATTTTCAAAAATTTTAAATTAAAATTATTTAAGAAAATAGATTGACCTAAATTAAAAAAAAATTTAAAATATAAAAATATTTTAAATATCTTTTAAATAATATCATATATATATATATATATATATATATATATATATATATAGATATAAGGTGGTAGGCGGGTCTAGTGATGATTTGAACCCGATTTGTACTCTCAGAAATTAGAGCTGTATTTTCAGGGATGAAATTCTACGAAAGCATGGTATCATCTTTAACGAATTTCTGGTTGACTTGTCATTCCTCGTCTGTTGAAACTTAAAACAAGGAATAATGTCAAATGAAAAAGAAAACACGAAGAAGAGTTACGCGCAACGGCTCCGTGATTTCCAAGCGCGTGGTAGCTCGAAAATGTGTTATGGTTCATCACCCTTCTCTTTGTCCATGTTTCAAATTATCAAGTTTCAATAATATCTTTCTTTTTTTTTTCTTTCTATTTATATCATTCACAATTGCCTTTCTTGTAGGGGTGTCACTTGGACAGGATTTGGTCCAATTCGGTCCAGTCTAATGGGAGTCTAAATGGACCAGGTCCAATCCAATTCGATAAATATTTTAGATTGGTCAAATTCAATGTTTGGACCGTTTAATATGTTCAAATTTATTTTAATTTAGATAGGTTTCAATCCAAATCTGGTCCATTGATACCTATATTTTTATCTTATATCAATGGACCAGATATTGACTTAATCCAACCCAATTCAATACAAATTTATTATGGATGGTTCAGGTCTAATCCAATCTAATAAATATTTTGGACCGGATTGGTCCAATCCAATTAGGGCTATCAATGGGTCGAGTCAGGGCCAGGACCAGCTAGAACCAGAACGACTCGATAGGAAATATTGAGGATTCGGAACCAAACAGACCCGATAGGGTTCGTAATTTTTAGACCCAGAATCAAATTGATCGGTTCTCAGGACTTGATTATAATAAATAAATAAATATATTTAATATATTAAATATTATATATAATTTATTTGATATATATATATATATATATATATATATATATATATATATAGCTTGGGTCGAGTTTCAAACCGATAATAATTGGGACACTATATCAAGACCTAGAACTGACCCATCGGTTCCAGTTCTTGAAACCAGAACCAGTCCAATCGACTTGAGTCCATCGGGTCGGAACCAATCCATTGACAGCCCTGAATCCAATATGTCTTCTTGGTCCGTCCAATCCATCCATAGGAGGCAGGAAATATTTCAAATCAGTGGAGGAAGCCGAACTTTGTGCTATCTTTCAAGGAATTTCTTATGCTCGCCAATTGAAGAAGTCCAATATTTTGATATGCTCAGATTCTCAGCTGCACTCAAGAATAAAACTTCTCTGTATTGGTCAACTCTGGGACTTTTAACATCAATGACCAATCTTTTTTCTTTAGCTCTATCAAGTTTCTAGCTATTAATAGGAGGTATAATGTTCCAGTGCGTAAAATAGCTAATTGGAGTAAATACACTACGCAAGATCATTTTTTGCTATCTCAATATCCTCCCTTTCTTCCCTCTGTACAAAAATTTATATTTTGTTCTATCTTTTAATATATTATTTTTATCTTTCAAAAAAAAAAAAAATAAACCTAATTACGAAGATATCAAATCTGATTTAAACAAATTCATCTAGTCACCCTCTTTCTTTCTTGCACTTGCAAGTGCATGTGCCACTCAATAGTAGGACATATGTAAGTGAGAATGTGAGATGGCTGAGAAGAGTTTCAGATATCTGACAAAAACGGTGCACATGGGATTAGGCAAATCCTTACCTCAAGTGGATCACGGACTGAACCAGTTCGGGCGGGGTCTAGTCCAATTGGACCGACTCGGATCTAAATGGTTCAATCACTCTTGAACTTGATGTGATGATTATCTCGAAGACAATCCAATTAGATAGTTCAAGTTGGTCTGACACCTTCACCACTTGTGTAAATAGCAATTACTATTACCACTAAGCTATGGCTAACTTATTTGTTTAAAATGAGTTAGTTTTTTGTTTTAAGTACATAAATATAAGATTAATGGGTTTGGACGGGTTTGAACCTATGTGGTTCGTCAAATCCAAAACCCGAACATAGTTAAATGGCTTTGGTGCTTGTATAAAAATAACATGCATGTAATTTGATTTAAACCTTTACCACTTGTGTAAATAGCAACAACTATTACCACTAAGCTATGGCTAACTTATTTGTTTAAAAGGAGTTAGTTTTTTGTTTTAAGTACATAAATATAAGATTAATGGGTTTGGACGGGTTTGAACCTATGTGGTTCGTCAAATCCGAAACCCGAACATAGTTAAATGGCTTTAGTGCTTGTATAAAAATAACATGCATGTAATGTGATTTAAACATTTACTACTTGCATAAATAGCAACTACTATTACCACTAAGCTATGGCTAACTTATTTGTTTAAAAGGAGTTAGTTTTTTGTTTCAAGTACATAAATATAAGATTAATGGGTGTGAATAGGTTGAATTGGGTTAAAGCGGGTTTGGGTTGAACCCAACCCATTTAATTTTATATAACTGGGTCATTAATAGATTGGCGGGTTAAATGGGTTGGCTTGAAACTCAACCTAAACCAAACCCAACCCAACCCGCCCAATATAATCTGTGACCAATCAATTGATATCATAAAGATGGTAGTCATTCAGGTGGTATTTATTAAAATTTATGGGTGAATTTTGATTGGTTAAAGCTCTCTTGGTATCATTTTTTTTCAACATCATAGATTTTCCCATAATTGATAAAATAAAAGTTTATTATATATTTGTTTGTAATTTTTGCATATTAATCTGAATCTAAATTAAGATTCAACTTTATTGTGTTATTCAAACCAACCCGGTCGAGGCTTCGCTTGGCAATGGGCCCAGAATATTATTTTGATCGGAGTGTGGGCTGGAACTGAGAACCTCAAATTACCCTTACACCCATATGAAAACCCGGCCCACGCCTGGCCCATGATCATCCTTGGTTTTGGATGTATTGCTAGCATTGTTTGAGTTTGGATTGGCTCCCCACAACGCAGTCCACATGTGCCCTATAACACATCCTAACTATGCATTGGGAATATCTCCCCATAACAAGTCTGGGAGATATTCTCAATCAATGTTTTCAAACCATCGTTGATTTAGACGATCAGATTGTTTGACCCAAGAATCGTCCAAGTAACTGGTTCTGTTTTATCTTAAACCCAGTCCTTGGCCAAAAACTATTGAATTGGTTAGTAATCCACTGATCCTGGTGGTCGAACCGTCAACCCCTTCAACAGTTTTTGATTGTTTTTTATTTTAATTTTTTTGTTGGAACGGGCCATCCATTTGAACTGGACAATCGAATCATTGACTTGGAAACTAGTGGCCAGAACGATTCTGGTTCTAGATCAATTTTTAAAACCTTGTTCTCAATGCATGGTTGGAATTTGTTGTGAGGCAAATCTGAGGCATGCTCTATGGGGGCCAATGCTGTGGGAACAGTGAGCACGGTCATGTGAACAATGAAGGCTTTGAAGCCGATTTTTATTTTATATTTAAAAAATTAAAAATTATAATAATATATATATATATATATATATTCGAGCCGGCTCGCTTAATAATCAAACCACTGAATTGGGCTCGATCTCGAGCTCAAACTCGATTGAAACCGAGCCGAGCCGAACTCGAACAACTTGTAAAAAGCCCAACTCATTGCTAACCCTAACGACAGGGATATGCTGTAAGGCATTGTGGGGCAGAGTTGTGATCTCACTCCTGCGCATGATCAATTACTCCTCTCCTAGAACTAGAATCCAGTCTCCCTCATTGTCCGCTTTCTTATCTTCCTTACTTTGATTATATAGTATATTTTCCCATCGATGCCTCCGCTAACTCTCTCTCCTGTCTGAATTAAAAAAATCTTCTCTTCAACATAAAGTCATGCCCAAACTATCCAATCCGGGCCCAATCTTACATTCAGGTTGGGCTTGGATTAATCAAACATCCACAGATTTCACATTAAAATTTAATATATGCATTTATGTGTGATTTATATATACATAGTCAGGCTGAGCGGAAAGGTCATACTGAACTGGGGCTGGGGCCGCCCGAGTTGCACCCCTACCTTCCCATAGTCCCACCCTCTATCTCAACCTGGCACCTCTTCCTCTTTCTTCTTTAAAATCTTGCCACCTTCTCCAGCTCCGGCCCATCCACTTCTCTCTCTCTCGTTTTCTCTTGATTTCCTTTATCTCTCCATCACCCATAGCTATTGCCTTCTGCTAAGCTCCTGTTAGACAGTTTTGTATGCCCTTAGCTTCAATCCGATTTGATGTACTTTTGTTATTTAGTGGAAATAAATAAAGTGCATGTTTGATTCATGTTGTTTGGTTTAATTCTGTGTAAGACCCTAA